CGTACAGTGGGTCACGCGCTGACCTCCAGGAGTGAACTGGTCAACCCACTGGTCCTGGAGGTCAGCACCACTCACCAAGTTCGTAGAGAACGAGGGGAGGTGAAAACCTGACAGAGAGCCAGACGGGACCGCCGGACACGGCAGGACCGTGGAGGAGTGCGCAAGGACTGGACCCCCAGAGGGGTCTGCCAGGGAGATTGGAACCGGCCGGCTGAGCGACGTGAGGGTGGTGCTGTCGCGAAAGAAGGAGCGGGAAGCACCTGAGTCAAGTGTGAAGGTGTACGAGGCCTCAGCAGGCGCAGTACCAGAGAGAGCAGACTCACCAGCACCTGGAGCAGGAGACGCACTAGCACCTAGAGCAGCAGCCTCACCAGCACCTAGAGCAGAAGACGCACGAGCACCTAGAGCAGCAGCCTCACCAGCACCTAGAGCAGGAGGCGCACGAGCACCTAGAGCAGCAGCCTCACCAGCACCAAGAGCAGCAGGCTCTATACCTGGGTCAGGCGGTACGCACAGGTAACAGGCACGGTCAGCACTAGTAGGCAATGCATACATGGCAGTGAGAATAGCATCATAGTCAAGAGCAAATATATCTACCCTCTGTCCAAGCAGCTCCAGCCAAGTGGGGAGCTCAGCCTCGTCGCCAAACTCGGTACGTCAGGCGTCGCTCAGACGGGCGAAGCAGCGGGACTGTGTCTGGCTAAGCGTCCCGCAAGCCTGACCAGTCCGATCACCTGTGCGAATGACGTACGGGCAGCGAACGGTGCTCAAAGACCCTCTACTCTGAGCGTACCACTCACGAAGCTGCTGGGGCGTAAGTGTCTCGCGCGGACGCCGCTGCAGCTGCAGCTGGCCACTGCCAGACGCTCCCGACTGACCAGCTCTAGGGCGACAGCCACGACGGCTACCGCCACAACCCCAACTAGCGTACCACTTACGAAGCTGCTGGGGCGTGAGAGACTCGCGCGGACGTCGCTGGAGCTGCATCTGGCCACCGCCAGTAGCAGCAGTAGCAGTGGTAGTGGCAGTAGTGGCAGCAGCAGCGCGGGCAGGGCAGGCGCGGCAGGCAGGTAGGCAGGCAGGCTGGCTGGCAGACAGGCAGGCAGGCAGGCAGGCTTGCAGGCAGGCAGGCAGTGCGCTAACAAGGCAGGTGCTCACTAGTGGCGGGAAGAGCAGGCGCTCGCCGGGCGAGCAGGGCCGGCGCTCGGCGGGCGGCTGCACGGAGTCCAGGGGCGGCGTCGCGGGTCCAGGGGCGGCTGCACCAGGGGCGGCTGCTGCAGGGGCCAGGGGCGGCTGCTCTGGGTCTAGGGGCGGCTGCTCGAGGGTACAGGGGCGGTTGCACCAGGGGCGGCTGCTGCAGGAGCCAGGGGCGGCCGCTCTGGGTCCAGGGGCGGCTGCTCCAGGGGCGGCGTTGGGGCAGGGCGGGGCCGCATCGGCTGTTAGAGCGAGGCACGAGGGCCGTAGGGTGCGCGAGGGCGGGGCCGAGCCGCGCGCTGCCAAAAAGGGGCGGCGCGGCGGGCAGGGAAGGGCGGCTCACAGGCCCTACAGGTGCGCGACGGGCCAGGCAGGGTCGCGCGCTGCCAGCAGGGCAGCGCGACTGGCTCCCGTGGGCGGCGCGAAGGCCCTAAGGCGACGCGACGGGCGGGGCCGGGCCCTAGGGCGGCGTGATGAGAAAAAAGAAAAAAATAAACGCGCATCGCGCGGCCAGCAGGGCGGCGCGACGGGTGGGGCAGCTCGACAGGCAGGGGAAACCCTAAAACATGAGAGTTAACGGTGGGCCCACTAGGAAATTAGGTCCTAAGACCTAAGTGCTCTTAATACCATGTTCGAATAGGTTGATTGAGTATCAAGAAAGTTTGGGTACAAGGATGAGAACCCTAAGGGGTTGTACTCTACATTGGCTACCCCACTACAGCCTAAACAGATATAACATGCATATAATTGACACACCGAAGCAAGCGCGGTGCGGCTTCTTCACTGCCGTCAGCTCAACAGGCGGGAGGGGATGAGGGGTGATAGGCGGGCATGAAAAAGGAGGGTAAAAGCACGGACCAGCCAGGGGGGGCGAGGGGGATGGCAAGTGAGTGAAGACGAGTGGGAGGATTGAAATGGGAGGGGCGAACGGGATCGCGCAGCGGCGAAAAAGGGGAGAAAATCGTGAGAGGAAGCGAGCCATAGCAGGGCGCGACAAGGTAAAAGGAAAGAGAGGGAGTGGGTGCACGGGTGGTAAATTGAGAGTGTGAAAGCACAGGCCTAGGCGGCCAAAGCATTCCTGAGAGGTTGACTGGGAGCCTAGGGAGCTTCCCGAGTCAAAACGCCATGCAAAGGCAGTGGCACGTCGAGGTGACGGAGGCCCGGGTGGCCACAGGGGATAACGAGCAAGAGAGCAGGGCAATGGCATCCGAAACACAGGCAACACGGTTTTGTGCCAGGGAGGGGGCGAGTCGGTCGGCGTAGGTAGGGGAATAGGCGGCTGGGACAGACATGTGAGATCAAAAGCGGAGCGAAATTACGGCTGGGATGCAAACCTGAAAAACCAGCCGCACAAAGGGTAACCCGTGCAGCGAAGCAGGCGGAGAACGAAATACCGTACTAAGCTGGAGGCCGGGGCGTAACCAGGTGTACGAGCCGACCGCGCAAGGAAACGGGCGGAGCAAGGAGCTGGGCAGCAGAGGAAACGAAAACGCTCGAGGGAGTGGCATCGGTCGCGATAGTGTTTAAAGACGTGAAAAGACGAATAAGAAGGACCAGGTTGACCGCAAATCTGCCGACAGATAAGGGCGAAGGCATGACGAGTTAGATGAGGAAGAAATTTACAGCAAGGAAACGACGACTGCAGCTGAGGAGGAAAGCGTGATTGTGAAGGGGCGAGAGAACGAAAGGAGCTGTATCGTCCGCGGAAGCACCTGCATGGCCACGAAATGTTAGGTAAAACTTGAAATAGTAGCGAGAAGTAGAACGGCGGGAACCTAAACCTGGCGAACTTACCGTGAGCCGAGGCGTTGTCGAGTAGGGGGAACCGGCTAACGAAAGCCATGGTTTGACGAACGCTGGCCTTACTGAACGGGAAGTTAACGCCCGGTTTCCCAGGTGGAGCTACGCTAGGGTTTAGCACTAGGCAGGAGCTCGAGAGTTCGTTCGAGGAGGGAGAGAGGGGGGTGTGGGTGATCTCGAGAAGGAAGGAACCTGTCACATGTGTACGCAGTAAGCAGGGGCACGAAGTAAGGAGAAGGAATTTTCCTTCAATTCTTTCCACTTGCCCCTTTAGTAGTATCCTCGTTTAGCTCGTTCCGTTTAAATCATTCGAGTTCGTGTAGTGTGCATGTGGCTTCCCTCTTCACCCGCATCATCACCCCCAACACAAGGTTGTTGTTCGCAAGGGTTTCGGGTTTATGTGGAGCTCCTCACCACAAAACCTTTCATTCCCCCCAGCAGCCGACTTGATGCCTGTCTTCAGTTCTGTGACAATGTTAGTGGCTAGTTGTTAGATTCCCGACCATTCGCGTTTATTCACATCCAAGCACGCGACCCCTGATTAGTCAGAAGTACTTTGTTGTATGCCACGCCGTGCAGTGTACCAGTAGATTGTTGAAGTGACTAAGAGAGGTAGGACCTTGCTGGACCTTGTTGGTTGTTCTTTGAGGCCTACAGCGAGCAAGAACCCTGTTGCGGATCGTATCCGTTGCAAGGCGGTGCGCGGTGAGTGCGCGGTGTGCGCGCGGCGGGGATGGCGGCCGGTGAGGGCAGTGAGTGGAGGCGGGCGGCTGTAGCGCTGCTTGCGCGATTCCCGGAGCTACAGTCGGTGGACGCGATCCGGCAGGCCGCTGCGAAGACGCACTTGCGATGGGACGAGGTGCGTCGTGTAGCTGTGGTGCGTGGTGCGGCTGTGATACTCTCGATATTCTTAGGGGGGGGAGAAAGGGGAGAAATGGCGAAAGGTCGGTGGGAAAGAGCAAGGCGGGAGGGAACAAGTAGGAAAGGAGGGGGAAAGGAGTTCAGAGGTTAGAAGGGATTGGTCGAGAGGGAAATTTCTTGCACCGTGAGCAGTCGTTCAGGAGCTTTTCGGCAGGAGAGCGAGGTGGGAAAATGGGTGCTGCAAGGCCTCGAAAGTCTTTGAGGGCCCTCAAAGGTCTTCCTAGTTTGCGGCAGAGTTTAGTCGTTTTTATGTCCTCGTTCAGCTTCAAATGTACCGCTTCCTTTTGCAGTCAACCGCCCTTCATCTCACATTGGTTTCAGGAGGCTCAGGGCGGGGTTTAGAGGAGTAATTTTTTCGAGTCGCCATTTTGGCGGAATTCTGATCCTCCGTGTGTGGAGGCCAGCAGGCGTACGTATCGTAGTTGGTGTGCGTGTGATTGCCTTGTCTGTCCATGGGCTCTTGCTGGTTGCGCCTCTACAGGTCGTGGTTACAGTCGAGGTTGAGGGTTTTGTGTTAAGCTGTGTTTGGCACCTGTAATTGCCACCTGTGGTTACCACCTGTGCTTGCCACTTGTGGTTGCCATTTGCAGTTGCGGCTTGTGCTTGTCAATAGTGGCTGCCACTATAAAAGGTTCTCCTAAGGTTTTGACCGTGACATTCTCCTGTGTCTGTCCCTCTCTCCTTACCCACCTACACACACACCCACACACCCAACCACCCATCCACCCACCCACCCGCCCACCATCACCACCACGGCGACGTGGCAGGTAGAGAGCACCGTGGCCCCTCTGCTCCTCAACCCGCGCTACGCCGCTGCTGTTGCTGTTGCCTTCCGCGGCGTGCTGCTTCCGCTGCTGCGCGCAGCCACAGCGCGATGGCAGCAGGGACGCAGGGGGGAGGGGCCGAGGGAGAAGGAGAAAGCGGAGCACGGGCAGCAGGAGCAAGAGGAGGAGGAACAGGATCAGGGAGAGCCAAGTCAGGGACGGGAAGGAGAGAAGGGGGATTCGGAGGGTGCAGATGGAATGGAATGGGAAGGGGAAGCAGGGGAGGGGAAACGTGCATTGAAAGGAAGGTGGAGCCGGCAGATGAAAGCAGGGGACAGGAGGGGCACACAGGCAGAAGGGCCAGGGAGCAGGGAGGACGACGAGGAGGAAGGGGGTGGACGAAAGGGGAGGGAGGTGGAGGAGTATGAGACGGTGTGTGAGGCGCTGAGTATCGTTCTAGCCATTGCTCCGCACAGTGTCAACCACCTCAGGCCTTTTTTTGCTGCCCACCCGCCTCCGTTCCTCAGGCTGATGCTGTGTGACGGGGCCAGTGCTGTGGTGAGCGTTGATTGGTTGGTTGACTGCCGGCGTTGTGTCGGGTGCTGTATGCAAGGTCTGGTCGGTGCTGCTCAGAGTGAAAGGGATGGCCCCGTAACTGCATTTCTGTTCTTGTTTCGTTGGCTGCCTCAGTCTAGTTAGATCGAGTCACTGTCAGAATTTGCTTCTTCTCCTTGGTGTGCTCATCCTTTCAAAATTCAGCATCCTCACACTCACTTTCCTTCGTTCCTTTTTCTCCTTCCTTCCCACCCAATTTCTCCCTCACAGGATCCGTCTGCTTTGCTGCCTTCCCTCCGCACGTCCCTCCGCCTCCTCCTCACCTCCCTCCCCACCTTCGCTTCCCTCTGGGACTGGTCGCCTCTCTTCCCCCTCCTCCTGCCCACATCCTCCTCCCCCCATCAACCCACCCGATCGGATGAGACGGAGGAAGAGGCGGGGAGGCGGGGCGAGGAGGAGTGGGAGGAGGTGCGGTGGGTGGCACTGGAGATAGTGTCTTTGGTGTTGTCGTTCGATGAGGCCACGCGCACTCGTGTGGGGTCGGCGTTGTGTGCTCTCACCGCCACGCACCGCGCTCACTTCCATTTCTGGTAAGCCCGAAACCCGGTCCGCCTACATGTCATGTGGCCTCTGCTCTGCGTGCAGGGCACGCAAGCCTTGTGTGCTCTCACTCACCGCACCGCATGCATTTGGGCCTGCGTCCTGAGGCCTCTGTGTGGGGTCCATCCCAACTCCCGTGCATCGGTGCACTGTCGAAGCATAGCCCATACCTCCTCCCCTGTCCCCCCTTCCACGCCTTTCCATTGCCTCTTCCTCAATTCAACCCACACACCCCTCGCCCTCACCTGTCCTCTTCTCTCCCCTCGCCTTTCCAGCTGGCGTCAGCTGGCCACACATGTGGAGGCGGAGCGGGCGCCCATGTTCCTGCTCTCGCCTCTCCAATCCGCCTCACTGCAAGCCACCATCAGCGATACCGATGCCTCTGCCACACCAGGCACGGATCCCAGCGGTGCCTCTGCTCCCTCCCCGCTTTCACCGCTTCAAGCCCTTGTGCTGACCACCTCGGGTGCTGGTTTCTCCTTTGACGGGGGCGGCGGTGGGGGTGAGGGAGAGGGGGCGAGTGGAGGAGGAGGACGGGGAGCGGGAGTGCTGACGGCCAGTAGCACGTCGCGGTTCAACACGGTTGCTGTGCTTGGAGTGGACCTGCCTCAGCGCCCTGTTGGCAGGTGAGTGAATGAGTGTGTGAAGTGACTGTATGAGTGAGCGAGTGAGAGATTGAGTTGTCTATGAGAAGTTGTGTGGCGGATTTCCTGGAACACAGAGTTGTCACACTAGGGGTTTGATTGAAGCCACCTCTGCCCCACCTCTTGCGCTTTTCCCCTTCCCCCCCCCCTCCCTTTCCCTCCTCCTACCCCTCTCCCTTCTCCTCTTTGTATCCCCACCCTTTTCCCCCCTCTATGAGAATCCCACGCTCCACAATGCATTCACCCTCGCCGCACTCCGCCCTCACCCTCCCTCATCCACCTCTGTCCAACCACCAAGCACCACCCACCTTGGCCAAACCCGTTCTTCCATCTCACCCACTCTCTCAGAACAGCATCATCCTCCTGTCTGGCTTCGCCTTGTGGGAACAGCCATGGCGCGCAGCAACCTCCAGTCGCCCCCCCGCATCCTCCCTTATCCCCGTTCATCCCACTATCCTACCCCCGTCTCCCCGTCTTCCCCCCTTCCATCTCCCTCACACTCTCTCAGAACCGCATCGTCCTCACCACTAGCTTCTCCACGTCTGGTGGGAACAGCCACGGCGCGCAGCAACCTGCAGTCGCTCGTGCTCTCGCTGTGCCAGCACCAGCCGCTGCTGCTCGCAGGGCCCGTGGGCAGTGGCAAGACGGCTCTCGTTGACTTTCTTGCCCACTGCACTCGGAATTACGGTGCGTGTTGTGGGTGGGGGCGAGGATGCTGGTGGGGTTCGGGGATGGTGGGGTGGTGGTTGGCGGTTCGGATGGTTGGTGAGTGTAGCTGTGGTGTGTGGGTGGGTGGTGGGGGCGGTGCTCATGTGGCTGGTAGAGATTTGGCTATTGTTCCTCGCACGGGCCTCTGATTCGCTGCCAGCCTTGCAGACTTGTCGAAGGTAGGTGATGAATCATATTCATACCTTTGTCTTCTCCTTTCCCTCTCTCCTTCTCTCCCAAACTCCCTCTTTCCCCTTCTCTTTCTTGGCAATCTTCCCTCGTCCCCTTCCGCCTGTCCACAGACATGGTGCGAGTGCACATGGACGATCAGATGGACGGCAACACACCTTCGAAAAGTCTCAAAAGCTTCCTCTGCCCCGGCTTTCCCCCTCTTTCCCCCTCTTCCCCCCTCTCCCCACTTCCCCAACTCGTCCCGCCCACAGACATGGTGCGAGTGCACATGGACGATCAGATGGACGGCAAGACACTGCTCGGCTCCTACGTGTGCACGGACGTCCCTGGGGAGTTCGAGTGGCGCCCTGGGGTCCTCACACTTGTACGCTCTCCTTACTCCCTGACTCAATGCCTTGCCTTTCTTCTCTCCTGCACGGGCCTTCCGCGTTCCTTTGTCCTTTGTCCTGTACCTTGTATCTTTCACCTAATTCATGTTTAGTTTTGTTTTGTGGTTTAGACTTGTCCTCTTCGACCCGCCCTTTTTTTACAAGGCACTTCTTGTGCCAGCCAATCGGATGAGTGTACAGGAATGTACGTTTAACCGAAAACTGGAACCAGCAGATTGCAATCCTTACTGATAATGGGAATAGACTGATCGCCATCCTAGTTTTCTCTTTTTACTGTCGTTTTGTTTCCCCCATGCGTCGTCTGTTTCTTTTCCCTCTCCACTACCCCTCCCTCCCTATCCCCCCTCTTCTCTTCTTCAGCAATACCTTTTGGCCGTTCATCGCCGTCTCTCCTCTCCGTTCTTCGCTCAGAAGATATCCAATTTTGCTTGAGAAAGTCACCTTTGCTAGTCCCACTCTCCTTCCATTTCAACACCCATCTTTTGGCTTCCCTTCTCTCCCACTCACTTCCCTCCCTCCTCCTCAACTCCCTCCCCCTACCTTCACGTCCCCCAACCTAGGCACCCCCCTCGTCCCTGTCTCCCATATGGGTGGGTGCATATGGAGAGCATCTCCGTTCAAAACCAGCAGCGCGAGGCACCTCAGGGGAACCTTCCAACCTGCCGTCTTCACTGCTGCTGCTGCTGTTGTTGAGGTGCCACGACTGCTAAATACCCTCTTCTCCCCTCTTCCTCCCTCCCTTTCCCCTTCCCCCCTCAACTGAACAGGCAGCAGCGCGGGGCCTGTGGGTGCTATTGGAGAACATCTCAGGGGCACCGTTCGACCTTCTATCCTCGCTGCTGCCACTGCTGCAGGACCGCTGCCTGCACCTGCCTGGTCACTCGCAGGTACGCCTCTCCTCCTGGTCTCGCCATGCCAAGCAGGCACGCTCAAACGTGCTGGTTTTGGGCAAAGTAGAATCGCCTTGGCGGAAAAGAAAATAAAGATTGGTCACATTTGAAGGAAGGAAAAACCCCTGGCGAACTGGAGGCCAGTAATAAACCTTTGCCCCACCCAGCCCACATGAAAGTGTGCCTGCCATCGCTTTAGGAAGAAACTGCTTCCTGTAAAGTGTTTCGTTTTGGCATTGCCCATGCACCCCCGGCCCCTGCGTGCGTGCACCCACCGCACTGCACTGCACTGTTCCTCACTGCCCATCTTCTCGCCATTGTTTCCCTCCCTTTCACTCCCCAACAGCCCCTGCAAGCCGCGGACGGCTTTCAAATCTTTGCCACCAAGGCCGTTGCTGCGTCCTCGTCCTTGCGCTCATCAGCGGCGTCTGGGGGTGAGTCAGTCACGTGAGCGAGTCCTGCTGCTGCTGCTGCTGCTGCTGCTGCTGCTGCTGCTGCTGCTGCTGCTGCTGCTGCTGCTGCTGCTGCTGCTGCTGCTGCTGCTGCTGCTGCTGCTGCTGCTGCTGCTGCTGCTGCTGCTGCTGCTGCTGCTGCTGTTGCTGCTGCTGCTGCTGTTGCTGTTGCTGTTGCTGTTGCTACCGCTGCTCCTGCTGGAGATGAAAAAACCAACCACCCTCCTTTCCTTGTGTGACGTCAGTGCTGCAAAATACATAACCTTCCACACCACGATCCTACTGGACTTGCTGTAGGCGTCCCACTTCTATACCGTGCACATCCCACCCCCTCACCACCAACGCCCCCCCCTCCCCCTCCCTCCTTTTTTTCCTCTCTTCCCCCCTCCCCTTCTCTACTTCTTACCCCATGCCCCGCGTCTGCGTTCTTCCGTTGTGCTGTGCTCTGTTCCCCTCTTCTCCCCACCTTCAGTGGATTCGCTGCTGGCCTCTCACTTCCAAACCGTGCACATCCACCCGCCACACGCCGCTAACCTCTTCCCCTTATGCTGTGCTCTTTTCCCCTACACCCATTCCCCCCACCTCCCCACCCCCCAGTGGACTCGCTACTGGCGTCTCACTTCCACACAGTGCACATCCACCCACCACACGCCTCTGAGCTGCCCACCATTCTCACCTCCTCCTTTCCCTCGCTCTCCGCCCTCATCCCCACTCTCCTTGGTACGTCCCATTCTCTTTCATACATTTCCACTCTCTCCATTATTTCTCCTCCGTTCGTTTCTGTTTTTGGTTTTCATGTTCCGTTTCTGTTCCCTCCGTTCTTTGTTGTAGTGACCCCGCCCCAATTTCCCACGTGTCTCGCTGGCTTCCCTCCTTTCCCTCACCTCCCCCCACCCTCCCTTCATTGCCCCGATGATCACCGCCTGCTCTGGTCAGACCTGGTTGAAGCCATAGGGAGGGTAGCATCCGGCATGCCTCTCTCCTCCTCCCTCCTCCAGCACCAACAGCACCAACAGCACCAACAGCGCCAACAGCACCAACAGCACCAACAGCACCAACAGCACCTGCAGCAGCTGGCGGCATCTGTTGCTGACGCTGTCGCGTCAGGAGGAATATCCGTCCGATACAGCCGCCAGGTTTCTCTCAGGTGCGCAGTGCTCCTCCTCAGGTGTTTCGCCGGGTTACATTCAGGATTGTTGGGGTGAACAGGAACGGGCCGATGTCATGATGTCAGTCGGGCCATCAGTCAGATCGTGGGTGGATCACACTCACACTCACACTCACACTCACACTCACACTTGGTGCTTTTTAGAGTATCCTGTCAATTATATTTTTGCAACAAGCCAAGTCCCAGGTGCCTCTTGGTTCTTCTTCCCCATTGCAATCTGGCTTCCTAATCACGGACCGTTGAAGGGCCAGACACACAATGAAGATCAATCGGTCACTGCACTCCTCTGGCCCCCTCCCTTTCCGCTCCTCACCTCGCCTTCCCCTCCTCCCTCACCACCACTGCCCAACCCCAGCTAATCCCAACACCATCTGCCCCTCCTCCCCTTTATCTCTCCCTGTGCCTCCCACTCCTGCAGGGACACCATGAAGATTGCTCTCCGTCTGCACTCCCTGCCACTCCCCGCCTCCATCCCCACTCAGCCCACGCCCACAATGACCCTCCCACTCACTGTCCGCGAGCGTATTTACTTTGAGGTCAGCTCCCTCTCTCAATCTCTCTCGTCTCGTTTGAATCGTCTAAAAACACAATGACCCTTTGACTCGCTGTGCGCGAGCGCATCTACTTTGAGGTGCATCTAGGTGCAGGTGAGTTCAGGTCGGTGCAGGTAGGTGCAGGGAGTGCATTCATGCGATGGATGGAAGGCCAGCGCCAACTCAACACGTCTCAGTCTCAAGTCTGGTTCGATCCAATGTCACCTTACCTCACCTCTCTCCTCGTTCTTTCTCCTCCTTCCCTTTCTTCGGTCACTCCCTCCCATTGCTGTCCCCTTGGTTCGTTCAGGTGGTGGATTGCCTGGTGGCGTGTGTTGCGATTGCAGAGCAGCGCTGTGCGCTCATGGCACATCTCGCCCTGCTCTGTGGCCTACCCACTGACTATGCACTGCAGCTGCACTCGCTGTACCAGCCCACCGTGCATGTACGTATGGTACACGTGGACTCAAGCGAGTTGACTTTTGAGTCGAATCACTTAAAAGTTCACTCGCTGTATCAGCCCACCGTGCATGCATGAGCCACTTGCACCCACCCAACCCGTCATACACGCATGTGGTGCACTTGCTTTTCCCTTTCTAGTTCTGTTGAAACATATGCCTGTGTTAGAAAAGAGAAAGACTAGTTGTGGCGCAATCACCAACTATGCATGGATCAAGTTAAATGGACCGCAGGTGCCCAGTGCAGCCAAACGCTGCCTCTCCTTCCCTCCTTCATTCCCTTCTTTCCCTTCCTCACTTCTTCCCTGTTCTCAGGCTTCCTCCTTGGAGCTTCGAGTGGGCAGGGCTCTCATTCCTCTGCGCCTGCACCAGGTACGACCTAGAGCCCTGAACTCTAATCAGGTCTGGCACGTGGCTGGGCTGTATCAGTTTGCAACATCAGCACCTGCCCGCCCAACTGCACTGCTTGCAATAACATCGTCCTGCTCACTGGCTCACTCTATTGGGCATGTGTGTACATACAAGTCTTGATTTCTTGCAATAACATGGCTCTTTCTCGCTCTCTTCATCCTTCTCTCCTCCAGGCGAACGACAGCAGCGAGGGGAACAGCATGGCGTTTGCAGCGACAGGGGCGGTGCTGCGGCTGATGGAGCGCGTGGCTGTGTGTGTGGGGCAGCGCGAGCCCGTGCTGCTGGTGGGGGAGACGGGCACAGGGAAAACCACCACCGTGCAGCACCTGGCTCGCATGGCAGGCCGAGGCATCTCCGTCATCGTGAGTTGTGAAATGTCTGACTGATTCTCTCACAAGCCACCCCGATGCATCAATGACGGTTCAAAAGGTGACTGAGCGAGCGGCACTCTCGGGGTGGCTGGAAGAGTGGAGAACTGTGGCCGCTGCGCCAGACTGGATTGTTTGATATCTGCAGCCTGAGTTTGGTTGCAGTGGATTTTGGCCGTGCCTTTGTCTGGGGAGGAGTGTGTGTTGTTTTTCCCCATCAAGCATTCTACAGGACTACTGACTTATGTTGTAATGTCATGCATCCTGTTGCGGCGTTCCCTGTTCTCCCTCCTCGCCATCTGCCCATTGATGCTTCTCTTGAGAGGAGGACCTTTTTTCTCCTGACCGACCTTTCGCGCGTTTACGTGCATTTTTCCTCTCATACCCTCTCATGCCTCTCATCCCATCCCATCGTCTCACACACCACGTTTCTCCATTGCCCTCTCTCCCTGTCTGTGACTCTCCCCGCCATCAGAACATGAGTCAGCACAGCGACAGTGCGGACTTCCTGGGGGGTTTCAAGCCCGTGGAGCAGCGTGTGGTGTGCCTGGCACTCTACCACTCCTTCACCTCGCTCTTCTCCAACACCTTCCCCTCCCAGGTGCGCTCCCTCCCACTGCACTGCTATGCGTACACTTCACTGTTGCACTGCCATGCACTGGTGCACTGCAATGAAATCGCACTGCCATGCATGAACAGAACAGTCTCGTGCGACCTTCTCTTGCTTGCCTCCCTTTTCGTCTTAAGTGTAACCATATTCTTCCAGCACTTGCTTTCCGCCAACCCCCTACCCTACCCTACCCTCCACCCTGCCTTTTCGCATGTGCATGACATGGCACTGCTAGTTCGTCCATCCAACCCCCCTTTATTCTTGCTTCCGCCTGCCCTTATACCCTCCTTCCTGCCCCACTTTTCCCTGTCACCTCCTCACTCACACTCCCCCTCTTCCCTTCCTCCACCTCCTTCCTTTCCCTCTCCCCTCTTTCATCTCCCCCACCCTCGTCAGCGCAATGCGGAGTTCCTGCTGCGGCTCAGTCGACTGGCAGCCAAGGGCAAGTGGCCGCTGCTGCTCTCTGCCTTCCGCTCCACCGCTCTCAAGGTCGCTCACCTGCTCGCCCCCCCAGCGTCCCCTGCTGCTCATACGGACGCTCGTGCACCTGCCTCCACCGCTGCTCCTTCTCCTGCTGCGGCTGCTGGTACTGCTGCTGCTTCTGGTGCGGACAGTGCTGGTGGTGGTGCTACTGGCAGCGGGAGTGGTGATGTTGGTGGTGGTTCGGAGTCAGGGAAGCCGGAGCGCAGTGCCAAGAGGACCAAGAGGCTCGATGGCGAGGTGTGTGTGTGTGTGTGTGTGTGTGTGTGTGTGTGTGTGTGTGGGTGTTTGTGTGTGTGTGGGTGCGTGTGTGTGTGTGGAAGTGGGGATGAATGGAGGGGAATGGGCAAGAGGAGGAAGGCTGTCGGGGGACTGTTTGTTGGTCCCAGGGAAAAATGAGAAATTTCACTTCGTTCGCTTCCCAATTCGCCCAGGGTGGTCTTCCCATGCTGTCAAGCTGTGTGCATGGATGCACACATCGGATCGTCACCACATCACCCTTCGTCCCCATCACACAGCTGTGTGCACTGCACTGCATGGATCTCCAGCTGTGTGCTGGGCACCCGATGGTGCAGGGGGGTTCTGTATCAGTATCACACACCCCTATCACCCTTCATCCGCATCACCGCTTGCACTCCCACCACCCCCTCTCACTCCCTTCACCTCCTCCCTCTCCCCCTCCTCTTTTCCCCTCCTCCCCTCCCCCCTCCCCCGCCCCCTTTCCCCCCCAGCTGGCGCAAGCGTGGGCGCGCTTCTCAACAGACCTAGCGCGGGCAGAGCGGCAGGTAGCAGCAGCAGAAGCCTCAACCGCGTTCATGTTTGTGGAGGGCGCGCTGGTGCGCGCGCTCAGGGAGGGCCACTGGCTGCTCATGGACGAAATCAACCTTCACCTTCTTCCCTCCCTTCCCTTCTTCACTCCCTCCCTTCTTCTCCACCCCTTCTCCCTCCCATTCCCCTCTCCTTCCCCTCCCGTTCCCTCCCCGTCCCCTCCCTCTCCATCCCCCCTCTCTCTCCCCCCCTCTCAGCTGGCGCAAGCATGGGCGCGCTTCTCAACAGACCTTGCACGTGCGGAACGCCAGGTAGCAGCAGCAGAGGCGTCCTTCGCGTTCATGTTTGTGGAGGGCGCGCTGGTGCGCGCGCTCAGGGAGGGCCACTGGCTGCTCATGGACGAAATCAACCTTGCACCACCGGAGACGCTGGAGCGGCTGAGCGGCGTGCTGGAGGGGGATGCAGGGTCGCTTGCGATCACCGAGCGAGGGGACATTGAAGCGGTACGTCACCGTGTGCGAGGGGCTGTTAAAGTCTAGTTTTGAGGCGCCGCAAGACTAGGCGTGCTGGAGGGGGATGCAGGGTCGCTCGCCATCACCGAGCGGGGGGACATTGAAGCGGTACGTCACCGTGTGGGAGGGGCTGTTTAAGCTGCATGCGGAGGCATTGTCGCTGGTGGTGTCCCGGGAGTGTGCTGCGTGCTTTTCTGGGAGTGTGAGGTGTTGAGAGACTTCTGTGTTTTCCTGCAGGATGCTGGCTGGGCTGTCTTTTCTTATTCAACCCTCTTCTCCCACCCACCCTTGCCCTTCTCAAATCCGTTTGAGGCCTCTTTCAACACTCTGGAACCACTCTGAACCAATTTTTTTTCGAACCTCCTCAGAACCCCTCCAAATACCTTCAAACCCTCTGTCACCCTGTATCTGCCAGGTTCCCCGGCACCCAGACTTTCGTCTGTTTGCAGCAATGAATCCAGCCACGGACGTGGGCAAGAGGGACCTGCCACCCGCCATCCGCTCGCGCTTCACAGAGCTGTTTGTGGACGAGATCACCAGCCGCCAGGAGCTGGGCAGTATTGTCTTCAAGGTGGGTGCCTGGGGATGCAGTGCGGTGATGAGAGATGGATGGTTTTGTGAGAACTCGTATAAGTCATCTGCTCGGGGTTCACAGCTGTTGAGATCATGGGCCGGTTCGGCTTCACCCTTCCCCCTCCTCCTCCCCCCCCCCACCCATCCACCCTGCACTTCCCTTTCCTGCCCTTCCCCCTTGTGCCCCTTTCCCCTCCCCCTGGCAGTATCTGGAGGGCCTGCTGCCGTCCCCTCCTGTGGACGACATAGTTGACTTCTACCTGGCTGCCAGACAGGAGGCCGAGGTACTGTGGGAGGGAGAAAGAGAGGGAAGGAGGGGGGAAGGGGGGTTGCACCTCGTTCATGCTGTAGGATACAAGAGGCAAGTGAGGGCCTGCTGCCGTCCCCTACTGTGAACGACATAGTTGACTTCTACCTGGCTGCTAGACAGGAGGCCGAGTTATGGGGGGAGAAAGAGAGGGAAGGAGGGAGAGAAAGAGTTTTGCAGGGAGGGAAGGCGAGTGAGAGAGGGAGAGGGAGTGAGGGTGGTGCACGTTCGTCCCTGCTGAAAAGGATGCGTATTCCATTGTTCCAGTGAGCTGTCAAGATGCCGAGAGGATGCTGTGGTCGGGGGGGACGTGCAGTGCAACTTTCCGTTTCCCTGTGCTCAATGCTCGTTTGGTGAGGGAAGTGCACGCATTTTTCAGTGATCAGTGGCGCTGGCATGAGCATGTGTGAAGAATGCTCTTCTCAGTGGAGCGATGGAATGCACATGCAAGTTTGTTGTCACTCCTCACATGCTTCTCTCTCTCCCACATTAGCTAACACCCCATATTTCACAATCCACCCCACCCCACGCTACCGCACCGCCTGCCCTGTTCCCCACATGCCAGGTGTCGCTGTTTGATGGGGCGAACCAGCGGCCGCAGTATACGCTGCGCACGCTGGCGCGCGCACTGGAGTACGTGCGCGTGGCTCTGCCCCTCTACGGCTTCCACCGCTCGCTCTACGACGGCGCCGCCATGTGCTTCCTCACCCTGCTCGATGTGAGGAGTGGGTGGGGGACTGGGGGGTTTGGGGACGGGGGCACTGGGGCTTGTGGAAACCGGGGGATGGGGTACTGGGAGACTGGGGGGTGGGGGGACGAGGTAAGTGGGGGATCGGGGGACTGGGTGACGGGGTGACGGGGTGATTGGAGTACGTGCGTGTGGCTCTGCCCCTCTACGGCTTCCACCGCTCGCTCTACGACGCCGCCGCCATGTGCTCCCTCACCCTGCTGGATGTGAGGACGGGTGGGGGGCTGGGGATCGGGGGAGTGGAGGGACCGGGGGCAGTGAGGGACTGGGAAGTGAGGTATCTGGGGACTGGGGGATTGGGGTTTTGAGGGATTGGGGGTTTGGGGAACTGGGGAACTGGGGAACTGGGGGACTGGGGGATTGGGGGACTGGGGGACTGGGGAACTGGGGGACTGGGGGATTGGGGGACTGGGGGACTGGGGGACTGGGGTTCTTTGACACTGGTTGGATGAGATGGTTGCCCACCTGTGCGCCTTCCTAACCACCGCCGCTAGTCTTAATATCTACCTTTCTTCCCCCTCCTCCCTTGCTTATCCTCCCTCCCTCCTCCCTCCCCTCCCCTTTTTTCTTCCGGCGTCTCAACCTCCCCCTTTCTCCCGCTCTTCTTCCCCCCTTTCCCCCTCTCTCCCTCGCCCGTCCCTCCTCCCCCCATCCCCCCCTCCCCCCCCCTCTCTGCAATCTTCCCCACAACTCAGCGCACCTGTGCGCCCACCATGGAGGCCTTGATCCACCGCCACCTCCTCAAGTCTGCGCCGCCGCTAAAAGTCTTACTTAGAGCGCCGCCCAGACCGGGCGGCAAGTACGAGCTGTTTGAGCAGTTCTGGGTGGAACGAGGGCCGGAGAAGGGCGGGGATGAGGACGAGGAGGAGGGGCAGGGGAGTGAGGGGGGGTCGAGTGCTGGTGCAGGGAAGAAGGGTGAGAAGATGAATGGTGGTGCTGGTGGTGCGAGTGGTGCTGCTGGTACTGCTGGTGCTGCTGCTGGTGCTGGTGCAGGGGCGATGGAGACAGAGAGTGGAGAGGCGGCGGCGGAAGGGAGGGTGAGGGCGGAGGAGTTTGTGTCGACGCCGAGTGTGAGGGCGCACTTGAAGAACTTGGCGCGTGCTGTGCTCGTTCGCAAGTACCCCATCCTGCTGCAGGTCAGGTAGAAGAGTCGCTGGGTGTGCATGATTATGCATGATGATAAGTGTGCGTTATGATGAGTGTGAGGGCCCACCCACTTGAAGAGCTTGGCACATGATCTTCTTGTGCACAAGTACCCGATCCTGCTGCAGGTTAGCCAGGGGGCGAGTGGCGTGCATAGATGGGTATGGATAGGCATGGGTGTGCATGGGTGGGCATGGGTGGGCATGGGGATGCATGGGTGTGCATGGGTGGGCATGGGTGGGCATGGGGATGCATGGGTATGCATGGGTGTGCATGGGTGGGCATGGGTTTTCACCTCTCGTGTCAGTCTGTTTTCGTGCAGTGTATCACTCTCTAGGAAGGCATATCCTATTGTGTGATCCCTTGCACACAAGGTAAACTCAACAATTCTTGTTCCACATTTCATTCCCATCTATCATCACCTGTCACCTGGCTCCATACTCAACTCAACTATTTCCCCTCGCTGCGCCCGTCCTCCTCCCACCTGCCAGGGCCCCACATCCAGTGGCAAGACCAGTCTAGTGGAGTACTTAGCTAAGCGCACGGGCCACCGCTTTGTGCGCATCAGCAACCACGAGCACACAGACCTGCAGGTTCGTGGGCTAGTGTGTGAGTGAGCAAGGTGACTTTTGAGTCGACTCAAAAGTCAACCACGAGCACACGGATTTGCAGGTTCGTTCGCTAGTGTGTGAGTGCGCACAGTGACTAAGGTTGTTGCATGTATGAGGTGGCGTGGGAAAAGGGAAAGAAGCACAGGTAGGTGACAGCGCTCTGCACGAGGAGGGGCACCAGCGGAACGAGGGGCTGGCACCAGCAACGCAGCGAGCGGAGGAGCTGGTGAAGAAAAAGGAGGAGCAGGTGGAGTGAAAGGAGCACCAGCCTGAAAGGTATAACCTTTCGCTCCACCTGCTCCTCCTTTTTCTTCACCTGCCCCTCCACTCGCTGTGTTGCTGGTGCCAGCTCCTCGTTCTGCTGCTGCCCCTCCTCACGCAGAACACTGTCACCTGCCTGTGTGTGTCACTTATTGATCTGTGAAGCAAACTCTTGTCTTTGCACCTTCAGCCACTTTTGTTCATCTCCTCCTCTCATGTCCAATTTGTCCCTTCCTCTCTGCTCCATTCCTCCACTCCTCTACCTGTCCCCCTCCCTGTTCTCCCACAGGAGTACCTAGGCACATACATCACAGACAAGTCTGGCCGCCTCAAGTTCCAGGTGTGTGTGTGTGTGTGTGTGTGTGTGTGTGTGTGTGTGTGTGTGTGTATGTGCGCGTGTGGGTGCGAGCGCAATGTCTGCGTGCATGCATGCATGGCAATGTGTGCGCCATACGTCCCGGCCACTAGTTCTAGGTTCATATGCACACACTGACTCTGGTGCATATAGCCTGCTGCTTCTCCATATTCTGCTCTGCATTTAAACAACTGAACTCTGACGGAGCCCCACCCTCTGCTCATCTTGCTCCTCTCTGGCATCCCGGCTCCAATTATCAACAATTTCTCAACACCGCCCGGTGTTCGTCTTCCTTCTCCTGGTGCCGTGACCTTTACAGGAAGGCCCGTTGGTGCAGGCAGTGAGGAGGGGCCACTGGATAGTTCTCGATGAGCTCAATCTGGTGCGTCGCATGCGTTCCTTACTTTTGATACTTTTCAAAAGGAACATAAGGCACTCTATGGTCCTGTGCTGCGGGCGGGCCCGTCAGGCCGGTGATTGGTGGTGCTGTATGTTCACGCTGCCTCTGCTATCTCCTGCCAATTTCCTTGCCTTATCCCCGTTCTCTGCTGTATATCTCCCAATCCCCCCTCCTCCCCCTCCCCCTCCCCCTCCCCCTCCTCCCCCTCCTCCTCCTCCCCCTCCTCTCCCCCCTCCTCCCCCCCCTCCTCCCCCCCTCCTCCCCCCCCTCCTCCCCCTCCCGCTCCCCCTCCTCCCCCCCCTCCTCCTCCCCCTCCTCCCCCCCCTCCTCCCCCCCCTCCTCCTCCTCCTCCTCCCCCTCCGTCTTCCCCCTTACCCCTCTGGCTGCAGGCACCATCCGACGTGTTGGAGGCACTCAATCGCCTGCTGGACGACAACCGCCAGCTCTTTGTGCCCGAGCTGCAGGTGTGTGATGTGCTTCGGTTTAGGTTCGGTTCAGGTTCGGTTCAGATATACCTGAAAGCACAGGGCTGTGAGGTACTGTACTGGTGAGGAAAAAGCTGCTGTGTTGGATGGCCTCATTTATCATGTCGTCGTGGCGTGTTTGTAATTCCTTCCTGCGTGTCATTCGTGTGTCTCTCCTTGTCTCGCCTTGCATGTCCTGTTCACCACTCCCTCTTTCCGTCCTCTCTCCCCTCCCTTTACCATCCGTCTGACCCCATGACGTGTCCTTCTGCCTGCCCACGCCTCCCTCCCATGGGCCCCCCCTTGCGTGAGCAGGAGACAGTGTCGCCGCATCCGCACTTCATGCTCTTCGCCACTCAGAACCCTCCAGGCCTCTACGGAGGTCGCAAGGTGTGTTGGGGACACTGGGGGATGGGTTGATTGATAGAGGGCTTTAAGAATGGTAAGGTGGCTATGGGACGGACGGAGTGACAGATCTTGGCTATGATTTTATTATTGAATGGACAGGCTGCAAAATGGAAGCTGCCATAGGTGTTGCAGGCAGCTTAAGGTTTGTTGATACCTCCAAGAGTAAAGAGGTTATGTTTTGAGGCGCCAAAAGAGAATCCAGACGTGTTGCTTCCCTCTATTTGCACCCATCATTTTGTCATGCACTCTCCTCGCTCTCCTGTCTCATACCATTCCCCCTTCTCTTCCTTAGGAGCGCCGGCACATGGACGAC